CGTAAATGTACAAAATTCCAATGTGGTGTTGATATATGGAAAGACAAAGCTGGTGATAAAAGTGGAACGAAGAAACCGCGAATAAAAATTTTTACCACGCCATCTTGTAGAGAAAAAGTGGCAATAACAGCATGCAAATTATTCTGACATCTTGGCTTAAGTGAGCTTAGAAAAAACAACTGACTTTGCGATAAATCTTGTATATGAATGGAAACTATACGGATCGTCAACGGATCTCTGTTACACGATTTCCATTTTTTTTTTATAATTAGTTAATGTGCATGTTCTAGGGTACTTTGTATATTGAAACCTTCTTGAATAAATCCAACGAAGGCTTAGTAACAGCCTTATAGAGTATCTTTCCTGGGTACTAAGTTTTTAGAGCAAAAGCTTTTGAAGGGATTCCAAGAGAAATAGTTGGGTTTTTGTCAAAATACTAACAAAATGTCGATAGAGTGGTATGAGAGGGACTGAGTGAGAGAGAGAGAGACCAGAGGAAATTCGTTGCTGTAGCAAGAAAAACGTTATAATCTTTATGAAGTTTCATTGCAATTTGGCGGAAAAATCGAAACTTGGATTCATGAAATAAGGTGCACACAAAACTTGAGTGAATACAGAAAATATCAATTTGCTCATAAGCCGGTTAATAGGTATCTCGGACAGCATGAAAACTTGAACGACGTAATGTAAATAGCAATAATGCTTGTAAAAAAGACCAGAAAGACACCATCACACTTGTTTACAAACCATAACATATTAAAATTAGTCTTTTGTACTTCCAAGCGGAATAAATCCGCGTGTATAATTTCTTTTTTTCCTTCTTTATGAAGAAAAAACTATCAACCTCATTTACGTAACGTGGCAAAATATCTCTGCAAACCACTTAACCTATTTCTCTGTCCACATGATTTCGCACTTTCTTTCCTACTTCTGAATCTGAACCGTTGCACATGCATTTACCGGTAGTTGATATAACAACACAGCCTGGGCAGAAAAAATGGTACGACATACTTAAGTGCATGCTGTAGGATATCCTATTACAAGCAGAATGCTGCACTGTTATGTCATCATAAGTGGAATTTGAAAATAGAGTATTATCACTGCTGAGCAATAAATTCACCTGTTGACCATTTCATTTCCTCAGTCGTAGTGTGGGATCTTATGTATCCCAAAATAGTGATATACAGGGTGGTTCAGAAAATTTTTATATAAATACGAGTATATACTAAGTGACATATAAATCCGAACACCCAGTTTAAATGGTTTTATTTTAATAAAAGTTGGTGAATGTATTTATCTTATTGTAAATAACTAGTGAAAAAATTTTCTGCCTTATCAGTTGGACATTCCGGTTTTTATACTGCTTTTTTTTTAATTCACTAACGCTCTAAAAATGAATATTCCAGTCGCAGTAAAGAATCAACGTTGGCGGATTTTGGTTCTTGACATCCTTTACGATCGGTTACCATGCCTAGAATACGGAGACCTGTACGATTTCGTCAACTTAGTGAGTTTGATAGGGGCCGTATAGTGGGACTTCGGGAAACTGGACTTTCTTTTCGGGCAATTGCAGTTAGAGTGCAAAGAAGTGTAGACACTATGGTTAGGTGTTGTCAGGCATGGCTTCGAGAAGGCCGTACGCAAAGAGCAAAGGGCACTGGACGCCGCCGTAGAACAACAGACCGTGAAGATCGCCGCCTAAGATTATTGGCCTTAAGGGACCGTTTCTCCACTACCAGGTCCATTGCAAATGAATGGTTTGCAGAACACGGAAGACCTATTGGCATGCGAAGTGTTTACCGACGAATGAGAAGGTTTGGCTTGTTTTCATACCGGCCACACTGGGTCCTCCCTTTAACTCGAGAACACCGACGTAATCGCCTTGAGTGGTGCAGACAACGGTCACTCTGGGATCAGGAATGGAACAGTATTGTCTTTAGTGACGAGTCTCGATTTTGTTTAGGCATGCACGATGGTCATGCCAGGGTTAGAAGGCGACGTGGTGAAAGGAGGAATCCACAGTTTTTTGTTGAAAGACATGTTCATCACACTATTGGAGTTATGGTTTGGGGTGCTATAGCTTATGGTTCCAGGTCACCTTTAATCTTCATCAGAGGTAACATGAACGCGCTGCGTTATATCCACGAAGTTCTAGAACCCCATCTTTTACCCTATCTTGACACTCTGGCAGATTCAACTTTCCAACAAGATAATGCCCGACCACATGTTGCAAGAGTCACAATAGACTTCTTTCAACATAACGATGTCACATTGTTACCATGGCCACCAAAATCTCGCGACTTATCCCCAATTGAGCACGTGTGGGATATGATGGGTAGGAGAGTGCTCAATTTGCAACGTCCTCCTCAGACTCTAGAAGCACTTCGAGAGGAGTTGGTGGTTGCCTGGAATGAGATACCACAGGAGGACATTGACCACCTGATCAGAAGCATGCCTAGGCGCGTTGGAGAATGCGTAGCACATCAGGGTGCATCCACACATTATTAAAGTTCAAAGGGCTTTAAAGCAGTGCAATCATTTTGAAATTTTAATCATTTACTTATTATGCTTCATTAAGTACTTATACAAAATTTTATTAAAATAAAACCATTTAAACTGGGTGTTCGGATTTATATGTCACTTAGTATAAGTTCTAAGATGTCTCGTTATCAATATACAGGGTTTTGCAAATTTCTATGCCACTGATGAGATTGTATAAGGACAATACTTCAACGTCTTTTCAAAGTTTACCGAGCAACGTTTTTTATACGGATTTTACCTCAAATTTTAGAACCATTCCTTCTTCAAATATTTCTCAAGTGAGGTGCTTTAGATGTTTCAAAAAAGTCAGTGGTGTAGACAAAAATTTTCTTTTTTGGTCAGTAGACTCAGGCACGAAAATTATTGTATCTAGTGAAGTCAATATATCACGCATCAAAGATATATTTTTTCTATTTCAAAATCAAAAACATCAACATTTTTATCAGAACGCTTCGTGTTGTTTTTAGACCTTTTTTCTACCTGGGAAATGTTGCCTCGATTTTCTTGTACATGTTGGGAAATTGTGGAACTAGATATTGTTGCCTCAGTAAGCAAAATAAAACTGACACGAGAATGCTAATATTGGGTCAATAACTAATATTGATTATAACAGGTTTTGTACTCTAAAGCTTACCAGCCATTTTTCGGCACTTGCTTTTTGTATAGGAGGAAAACTCTCTTTGCGTTACCTACTCATCATTACCTGTTCAGTTTTTAAATTACTTTGCTTGTTAGTTAACATATGCTTCAATGCTGGAGCCTTCATCCATTCAGATAGTCTAAATTGGTGTCCCAGTGCTCCAACGTGGATCAATTTTATAGCGACGGCTTTTAAACTAGTTCATGGGAGAAGATCTACTTTCCACGACTTCTAATTATAGTCTCATAACAATTTGGACACTTGCAACACTTTCTTCCTCTGTATTCTTGGAGGCAAAGAAACAAGAAAACAGATGCATCGCGAATAAGTGGTACTACTTTCCTAAGTAGTCCCATACCTACTTCCAAATCACTCTACTATATTTTTGATCACCACTAAGCTCTTCTAAATACAACTCATTGAGACTTGTTGGTACTAGTTCACAGTATATCTCAAGTGGTTCTGATAAATTATACATACATTAACAACCATAATATTAAGAAAGTCTTCGTCGGTAATTTTTGAGAGATGTTCTGACTAACACCAGTCTCACACAAAAGATGGTACAAATGGCACACATAAGAGCAACAGAGAGAGAAAGATGTGCTTCTTCTAACGACAGCGAATGCACAAGCTCATGGGAGAAGAACAACTTGTCGTGACATCTCACTTGAAATTACCAACATCCCATAAGAGTTAAGCACTTCTAACACTTGCTTTTACTGTACTTTTACCGACAAATAAACAAACAACACAATTGAGTACTACTTTTCTAAGTAGTATCTTATTTATTGTACCAAACTTCTAAAGCATCCTGAATGTCATTTTGATGGTCACTTAATTCTTCTACATACAAGCTTCTTGATGCTTGTTGTTTCAATGGTACTGCTTTTTGGGGTATGGCAAGAGGTTTCGATAAATGGTACCGTTTGGTAAACAGTTTTAACGTTATTTAAGATTCCAATAGTAATGTATGATAAGTTCAGCATCATATAAAGAGTAGTACCAATGTTTCTTATATGGAGAAGAATAAAGCGTAAGTGCAAAAGAACATCTGCTAAAATTCTAAATCCATATGCATTAAGATAATCTCTGTTGCCTGAGTGCCTAAACGTAGCGGCAGTAAATCGGGAAGTTTCCAAATCCCTTCATGACACAAGTACTAATTTCCCTGACATCTGATTTACAATTATGAAGAAATCTCACCACAATTGGACACTTGTCACACTTTCTTCCACTATATTTTTGCCGACAGAGAGACAACCAAAACCTACACAATTAAATCACATATTAGTGGTACAACTTTCCTAAGTAGTATCTTAATGACTCTTCCAAGCTGCCAAAGTACCCTAATTATCATTTTGATCACCACTCAAGCATTTCACTTAAAACTCCTTGATGGCCATTGCCCCAGTGGTACTACTTTATGGTATGTGCCAAGAGGCTTTAAATGATACCATCGTATTAACAGTTGTAAGGACAGTAAGGTACTTTCTCATTAATTTATGTCAGGTCAGCATAATTCAAAAGGTAGTACCGATGGTACGCCTAGAAAAGCCTAAATTCTGAATCTTCGTCCATTAGAATAACCTCAGTTGCCTAAGTGCTCAAACCAGTGGACATTTTTAGCGACAGTGAATCTGGAAGCTTTCAAACTGATTCATGAAATAATTACGACTTTCCATGACATCTCATTTATAATTACGAAGATATCTCATAACAATTAGACACTTCTCACACTTTCTTCTGATGTATCCTTGCCGGCAAGGAAACAAATAACACGACTAAGTACTACTTTCCTTAGTAGTACCCTACTTACTGTCCCAAACTTCCAAAGCACCCTGATTGTCATTTTGGTCACCACTCAAGTCTTCCACATAAAACTCCCCGAAAGTTATTGGTATTACTTCGCTGTATATGGCAAGCGGTTCTGGTAAATGGTACTATCTCGCGGTACGCGCCTTGCAACGGACGGATACAAACTGTTCTTCGCGCTCATTATCAAAGTTTTGATGCTTATAAGACAGAGGCGTCGAGTTGAGTATCAAGCAGGCTTTGACTTACTTTCCTTACCAAAATCACAAGATCGAAGATATTGATGTAGACGTCTAGAGCGTTATAGAATAATCTGAAATTGAGCCCATTGTAACTTTGATGAACGAATAAGAGCATAACAGAATGATGAAAATCCCATACCCCACAGTATACGGTACCAAGACTAAGGCAATCGCGATAATATTTGATCAACTTCACCATGAATGTTTCTCCCCACATTCCTAATCTCAAAAATTCGGATAGGGAACAATCATTATTTTCGAGTCTACCCATGGAGAGAAATACATGTTATTGCAACTGATCATGTAAGATTCGAGATAAGTGAAGTATTGGCAGAAGGTGAACATCCTGCTTAAGTAGTTTTAGAGAATTGCAACTAAACTGTTTCATGCAGCAGCATCAAAGATCAAGGTTACACTGATGATCCAACCTTCATAGCAAGGATAGCACGTGAAGAAGCAGGAGAGTATAATTTAAAGTACAAACCTTCTACTACAAAATTCTCAGGCGTATTTTTTAATAAATTTATTCTAAAGCATTGTATTTGGTTCGTCCATACGTTAGATGGCTAACCGCGTGGCAAGGCCACCCCTTTTTTAAGATTTGGCTCTCCTCAAGAAAATTTGCTATGTTTCAAAATGTTTTTGAGGCAAGTACAAATCAAGTCTACTAGATCTGTTCGAAGGTTTTTGAGTCCACTGAGTTCGAATCATCAGATTCTCAATCAGTTCATCTGTGCTGTCATTTAGAAGTTGTTTTGAAGTTAAATCACTATGACATGAAAATTAATTCCAAACGCCTTTCAGATAACTTAATACAGAAAAATTGACCTCAGATTTGGACTCAGCGACCTCAAAAACCTTCGAAAAGGTCTAGTAGACCAAATTTTTTGGCATTTCACAAACTGACCTCCGATTCGGACTTACAGATCTTAGATACCTATAAGCATGAAAGTTAAGTGCAAGATTGTTCGTACAACATAGAGAAAGACTTTTACAGAATTTTACCTAAAACAGTCATCCTGGCTAGAAGCAGGTTCGTACAATTACCGTATGTGATCAAATCGTTTAGTTATTCTACATACATGAAAAAAGATTAGTTTTCTTTTTTTGATCAAAATTGTATTAATCAGAAAACCAGCCTTATTGTTCTTTCTCTGTTAGACACGTGGCAACCTCAAAAACAGTGATTTCTAATGGAGCTTTCGGACATTGAAAATGGCCAAGCGGCCACATCGAGCTTTTCAGACTGCAGACCACTCTAAATCGGAAACGGTCAACTTTAGGGAAGCTTTAGGGAGCTAGGATACTTTCTGTTCAGAATCCAAAACGCCTAATGAAAACTTTGTCCAAGACGGTTTTTCTTTTTTGTAATTCGGTTGAAAAATGTAAAAAATATTGCACCAAGTTACCGTTCCTGAATCTCTCGATTCATGTTGAGCGGCATCCAACGAACACGGTGAAGAAAAAAAAACGATTCAGAAAATTTCACCCACAAATGTGACATTTTCGCCTTGATTAGCAATAGGTGGTATGGTCCCATCTAGCCTTAGGCAGATCAGAAATCGTATAGCAACTTTCTTATAGTACTTCTTCGAATGAATAAAGCTGGGAAAGCTGCGAAAGGTCAGTGAAATCCTGTGCACAATTTATTATTAACCTGCTGAACAACAACGAATCATTTCCTTGGTAGATACGTCGCTAATTCCATCTTGGTTCCACACCACTGGTGCTGGGCTAACGGTACCAACATAGCTCTTCCATCGTCAAGTCGTACCCGGCGTGTGCGCTTACAAGCAGTGTGCCACAGAGAAGGACAGTTTTCGTCAAGTATTTAGGTTAAAGCTGCCGAGTTGTACCGACATCGTACTGCTAAAAATACGGTTACCTTTTCAACAGATTGGCCGTACTATCCTCTTGTGATTATGATGCGCAGAGTTATTATATGAAACCACGATTGTGCATTATTATAGGCCGAGGGCATTAGATCCATGGTACCATACATGGAACGAACTTTAGTATTAGTATTCATTCCAGTTACTTGGATCTTAGGACACAGTACTTAAGACGTTTAATGATGCATTTTACTCAAAAAGCCGAAAATTTGACCCTTATATCGAGTCTTTTCAGAACAACATAAGTTAATTTCGATATAATACAAAAAAATAAAAAGTGGATCGTTTACATTTTGATTCATGTAGTCATTTTGGGCCGTACAGCGAGAAACACGTAAACATTCAGATATTTTGTGATGGGTCACAAAGTATATAAAGAGAAATGTTACTTTGTCCTTTAAAAAGGTGATTTTCCGAATGAGACAGGTTTTTTCTTTGTTATCAACAAAGTACTGAAAAACTCACGAACATTTTTCCCCGCTACAAAAGTAAACTTCGGAAAAGCATTTAAATGCTATTTCAAGCACTTTTAGGGGTAAATAACCTTGATTGCGCTATTTTCTATAAAAATCTATAAGTTGTACTGCTTTCACTCTACGTGTCGGTCAGCTCCTTCTCCTCCTGACACAGTTGCTGCAACGTATGCCTCGCCATACGGCCATGCTTCAGCTTCAACTGCTTCTGTCTCTGTTGAAACAACTTCTTCTGACTCCTCAAACTTTCCTTGGCCCTTTGATCAAATCCCTCTCCAGATGTATCCTTCCGACAACCACAAAAAAATGACCGGAGATTTAGAGGTGAAACAACATTCCTATCAATATTTTTTTGTGACCTGCTACTTCGATCGTCAGGAAAAATTAACAAATAGACTCAAAATACTGAATACTTGCTTTACGTTATGCTGACCATCCACCACACCATAAGCATGAAACTTGGATACACTACCTTATATTTTCTTGCCAACTTACAGTTGGCATAGTCTCGCCACTAATGGATCATTTTCCAAGGAACGAAGATTCCGTGGGGCAGGAACATACCTAAAAAGCGTGAAGAAAAGCTCGCGCCTGGAACACAACACTCTTAGATCTCACGTAAGTCTACATACACATAATGAGCTTACTTACGGCAACACCAACGTGTGAACACTAAACCAGTGCGCACCGACCGGGGTTTGCTAACGTTGCCAGTGAATGGTAGCATATCATGCCATGTTGGCGCCAGCGTTTGCTCCATCGTTGGCTCGAATGTGTGAATGCGACATCAGCGGAGCACACCATATGGAGCTCCGACAGTTAATCAGCCCAGAAGACAGTAGCATCTCTCAAGACAAATTCGCACAGAGACTGATGATAAAACACACACACTGATCTAGGAACTACAGCCTATTCCAGGAGTATCCATTCCTCTTTGTCGCCTACTGAGGTGAACAACTGATCAGCAAATGGCTTGTTTTGTATTAGTCATTGGCAATAGTGAATTGGGTGTAAATCTGGTAAATCACTTACTGATACAAGAATGTTTACTAGAAAAGTATCATAGTACATCTGGAATTTATTGATTACGAAGTTAGTCAATAGAACAGACTCCATTGTCCTTTCCAGTAGTTATTATTTCACCTGTAAAAATAATATAGACACCTGTATCTGGTAATTGCGTTAAGTTTAACGTAATCAAATACAGATCAAGTATGCGCTACATTCCTTATTTCCCCCCCACAAGGGCTACAGCTTCCACGCATCGCTTTCGTTTCCTTTGGACTTTTGAAGTGTTCTAACAGTTGGGCCATGCCTGTATTCACAAATATTGCATTGTCCCAGTTGGGTACATTTCATGACTTCCTGCAAAAGTTGTACATTTCACTTACATTTATATAATGTCTAACTTGTTAGAATTGCCTGAGTAGCGTTCAGACCTAATTCTGGTAGTCGAACCACCATCAATTCGGTAAGATACATTGTGAATTTGTTGCATGACTATTTCATGGCCCATAAAAGTCAAATCGTGTTTCAAGTTCTAAAAAGTAGAAATGATTAACATTGTCAAAAACTGTTTATCCTATTCCTACCTGACTTGATATGTAGTTATTTATGATCATTAGCAACGATTTCGCTTGTAGCGTTCTTTTTTGTATGCCAATAAACTTTTCTGAATAAAGAAGTTGAGTACCTGCAAAATGAAACGGTGGCGTACAAAAAAACACAAGATACGACTATCTATCTGGCATTGGCAGATCCAACAGGATTGTGTGTCACTTCTCGATATCGGGAATTTCGAAATGTCACCAGATAATCAGCTGCTGTTTTAGTGTAATGGATACTCGTGAAAAGACAGTACACTGACTTATGCTAGAGATTATCTACATCTGAATAAGCCATGTATAAGTATACTAGGTTGATGTTTGCTCTCTTATGTGTAGTGTGTACTTTGTATATTCTCATGCTTCTGAGATGTTTTAGTAATAATCGATATCCCATAAAGCAGCAGCAGGTCTAATCTATTTAACATATACCTGGTGTTAGGGAAATAATATTCGTAACTTTAAAAGGTGATTCATTATAACCTATGTGCCAAAATCAACCGTTACGGAGCGAAAAAATGCTGTACTTATTTCTTTTTAGTCATGAAGTAAGTTAATTTTGCACATAATAATTTAAATTCATATGCCTAATAGCGCAAAATGTATCAATACATCTATTTATTAATTAACTGTCTCTAACAAAATAATTTTCTTGCTTATTAAATAATAAATACCTACATCGGGAAAAATTATTTGATAGTTTCTCTCACATTTCATTATTCAGTAAGGTATGCTTATTATTTACGGAAAGGCTCATTGCAATTCTGAAGAGGCTAGGCGCATTTACGAAGAACGTTTTTCTGATCGAAGGCTACCAGCTAGAAGAACATTCGTAGAAGTATCCCAAAGACTTGTGGACACAGGGAGCGTAGTGCCTAATTTTAAAAATCGCGGAAGACATCGTGAAGTTGGAGTGGAAACCGAAGAACAAATTTTGAATTTAATTG